GAAAACTATCCCACTTCCTTTTCCTACATCTATCCATCATCATTTTCTTGAAGTAAGTCATCTGTCAATCATTTAAAACGATTTCTATTAGGACAAACACATAAATCTTATGTGGAAGATATATAGTATACAATCCAAAATTTTGCTTAAGCTAATCAAACAAACATGTTAAGTTATACATGTATTCAGCCTGACCAGCTCTAGAGAGATACCGAAGTTGATGTAAACCAACACGCCATAAACTATAAACTAATCACACCAAAACAAGATAAGAAAAGTGGCAAAAGGATCATCAACCCATTCTCCAAATCACAACAAATTTACAATCCAAAATCAAAGGTTCTCAAAGAAAACTCAGAAGTTAATAACGGTTTCAAGAGTATCTAAGAAGAAAAAATAAGGAGGTTGTAATATACGAACCTGTATTAAGAGACAGTAGCTGGGGAAATCGATTTGGTAAAAGTGCCTGCGAAAAAAATGATTTCAGAACAAGTGCGAAATTAGAATGAGCAATCCCGAAGAAGAAAGAAAATGACAAGTAGCGATTAGAGAGTACCTTACGAGGAAGGCGATGAGAGAAAAGGAGCGACCCAGAAGAGGAAGGCGTCTGAGACCTAATTTCTAAGCTGTCTCCGAAGAGGAAGGCCGTTTTCACGAACGGAAAACAAGATATAATGGGCTAACAGGCCCGTCAACTCAAATTGTTTGTGGTTTTTCAAACATTTTTTTTGTTAATTTCATGAATCAGTTTATTCTTTAGAGTAAACATATTTTGAATATAGTTTTTCAGAAATTCGTCTGTGTAAGACTACGAAATTCATAAATTGATGTATTGATCTAACAATTTTTTATAGTTTATATGTTTTTCACGGAGTCGAAATAATTCATGTATTATTATGGCAAATGAAAAACAAATGAGGCTATTGTTTGGGGGTTTTCTCTGCTAGACTGATTTATTTTCTTTTTATTTGTAAACTAGTGCTTCTGTGCGTTTTAGATACATGTTTTATTTAATTTGTGTACGTTTTAATAAAAATATTTTTAGTGTGTATGAGGTGAGGACCAGTGACCTAGTTAAGAGTTATGAGAAAAAAAAAATGTCATTCAAATC